GCTCCCAACATGTCTCCCTTCGTCATCAAACTGGAGACCTTCCTGCGGATGGCAAAGATACCCTATAAGGTTCGTTGGGAGACAGCATGTAGCTCTATATGTAAAATCTTGTCTGAAATTTGTATGCATATTTATGGGAACAGACGCATGCAAGCACATTGACATATATATATATATATATATATATATATATATATATATATATATATATATATATATATATATATACATATATATATATATTATATAAATATTGGTGTAGAGAGACACACATCATTACACAAAAGAGACGCTTCGTTTTTAAGAGTGTGAACGTAAAACATAGGGAAGAGATATAACGCCTGTTCTTTCCCTTTTTCCAGGTGGACTTCGAGGAGCCTTTCGGGCCCAAGGGGAAGACCCCCTGGATCACACTCAACGGCGAGGAACTCACGGACTCCCAGCTCGTGATGGCGGAACTCACGCGTCGCTACGAACTCACTGACAAGCTTAGCGTCGAGCAGCAGGCGGTTGCGAGAGCGCTTACCGTGATGGTCGACGAGCACCTCATCTGGTATGCGATGTCTTGGTGTATTTAGTGTGTGTTTTACCTTATTATTTTTCTGATTTTTATAGATACGGGAGGTGCGTCTGCTTTTCTCAGATTCTTTTTTTCTTTATTGATGTGTATTTCTCGCAGATTAGTTCATATGTGGTAAAAAACATTCCATTTATGCAAACATCAGCCACTTGAAAAAAGTATATTTAGTTACTAGAACATTAGTGAAATCATGAAGAATGTGACTCTCAAAATCATTCTGGCCCGATATATCTGCGCGTTTTAGTAATATTGAACGATTTTTTTAAAACATACTATTTGCCTTCATAGCAGCTGGAGAAAGTAATATTCCATGGAAATTTGTTTTGTTTTTTCTATAAGTATACGTGACTGCCACACCATTTACTAATCAGGATGTCCATGAAACCTATCATTTCACTACTACTAAATCCCATGTGCTATTAAATCCTCTTTCCATCCCCCTCCCCTTTTACCCGTCAACTTCCCTTACCCACCATTCCCTCCACTTCACTACCCCCCCCCTCCCGCTCCCCAGGGGACTGCGTGTGTGGAGGTACGACGTGGACCGCGGGCAGGGCTTCTCCGAGTGCATGAGCAACGTGCCCTTCTACTACAAGTGGCTCGTTCCAATTCAGTGCTGGCGCATGCGTAACGCGCTGTGGCATCAGGGTATGGGAAGGCATACGTACCAAGAAGTCAAGAACATAGTCAAACAAGACTTGGCGGCGATCGCTGGTTGTTTGGGTATGTGATGCTGTTTAGAATTGTTTATGTAATTTGCATAATTCGTTTAGCCTTAACGCAGACAAATCGGATATTCTATTGCATTCTTTTAGTTCAGTTAGCGATGTCATTTCTACAGTAAAATAAATTATCCATATAGATGTTACAATCGTTCCTATTACACATCTTTTTATTATTATATTATTATGTATTTATTTATGTTTATAAGCATGCATATTACAGTTTGTGTAATGATTTTCCTACAGTTATCATTCTAGTTACCCTTACCAACACATATGCGCACCAGCGTAATTTGGGTGCCTCTCCATGCAACGCTAACAGAGCTGTGTTCACTGTTAATAGGTGACAGATCATTTTTATTCGGAGATGAGCCTTGCCAAGCGGACTGTGCTGTATTCGCTCACCTGGTTAACATTCTCTACAATTACCAGCGCTCACCATTCTACGCCATGGTGACAAGTAGGTTAACAACAAATATTCTGTACACAGAAATATGAACATAGTCTGTCCTCCTATCTTCCTTGGAACCTTTACTAATCATCGACTAACTCACTGTGTAATAGAAAGAACATTTACCTACTGTGAGAACAAAAATGATTGCTTGTAGAATGTATCCCAGGGAAGTTTTTATGACAGCAATACCACTGCACGAAATAAGGAATACTGGAGGGACGCCAATCACTTCGTTCATTTATGAGAATCATTGTTAATTATTCTTCTTTTCACTTCCAGATGATTTCCCAAAGCTCAGTGAATATGTGTCGAGGGTGAGGGCGAAACTTTGGCCGAACTGGTACCTCCTCCTCGACCCGGCACAGCCTCAGCGCCGTCTAAGTACTTAAGGACTACTTAGATTAAGATATAAGTGTGGAAAAAAGTCTGTTAAACTCCGAGAGGCATGGCAGTATGTTATCTGACGAAAATAAATATCAAATTCCTTTCTTAGATTGTTCTAATAGGGTTTCAACTCTGACACTTCATTGTTTTCAATTAATACTCATTTGATTCTCTCATTAATTACTTAACGCAAACATTTAAGGTATTTACGCATCATAGAATAAGCACAGGTGTTCCATTCTGGCTCCTACTCACAGCTGATCATTATATGCTCCTGCAGTTCATGGTTGGGAATGTTCTGTTGCAATATTTTAGATCTTTTATTTGATAGTACTTTAGTTATAACGTCATTTGACCATC